ATTTGTCTTTAAGAATTGTTTTAGATTATTTTAGTCACTGTGGTGTGGCTTAATATATATTTAATATGCTTGATGCTGTGTAAATATATCATTATTTGCAGCTTTTTCTTTTCTTTCAAATTTGAACTGTTATTACCTCCGCCACCGAAGGTGGAAGGAGGTTATGTTTTCACCCCTGTGCGTCTGTGTTTGTCAGCAAGATTTCTCGAAAACCGCTGAATGAATTTCGACAAAAGTTGGTATAAATTTGCATTGTGACCCAACTTAGAAGTACTTAGAAGAAAAATTCCCTATCTGTTTACATGGGGACCAATTGTTCACTCTATTTTTGCTCTATAACTCAGTCAAAAATTATTGGATTTTAATGAAACTTGGTGGACTTATGTAGAATATTATTCCTCATTATCCTGCCGAAAATGGTCCGTGTCCGTTGATAACGACGGACATACGAACGCGTATTTTTTGAGGGCCGAATATGATCGATGCTGCGTGGCGGAGGTATGCGCTTTACTGAGTGTCCCTCTAGTTTATTTTGAATTTATTCTTTGTTCTGAATACGTGCAGGTTTCCACATAACATGTGATAAAGAAAACCGTTAAGTTGATCTTGTTTCAAGTTATCTTTGTTCCTTTGTCGCTTTTGAAGTTAGTAATACCTGTTACTGCTCATGCAGGACATTGCTTGCAGTGAGTGACATTGGATCAGGAAGCTTACAAAAGTGTTCTTCAATGATTGTACGGGTATTATCTAGAAGTTACGGCTTTACCAATGTGTAATGAAAATGATTGGTCACGTGGTTTCGCGTATCAGGCTGAGTTAATGCGAGATTTCTTCGAGGCTAAGAATTCTACCTTCCATTTAAGTCTGATGGATGATCTTGATCTAGACAAATATGAAAGAGTCAGCTATGAAAAGTGATAAGAGGATACTTGGTGTATTTTTACAATAAAGAAAGATTGTTTTCTTTGTGTATTACACATTGTGTCCAGTCTGTTTCTTCCTTAACCTTGGATGAATCTTCTCTATGGTGGACTTGTCCTACATAGCTTTCAATTTACTTGAATATGCCTTCATCTTCCCTGCATCGTGCATGGTATACTCTCCTACATATTTTATATATTTTTAGCGAGCTTCCAAATCCAGACAATTATTATCTATAATAATTACACAAACTTTACGTAATGTTTATTTTTCGATGTACTAAGCATACAGTTATAGAAAATAGTTAACTACATATTTAAAGTACTTTTTAAACGCCGACAGCGCAAAGTTTTGGAAATTAATAGGCCTAAAAATGGTATAAAATCTAAGTTAACTGCAGATGTCCCCACCCCCCTACCCCGTTCTCTTGAATTTTGTCAATTGCGGTTCAAAATTAAGTATGTAAAAATATCATTCCAAATCTATCTTTTGTCTCTCGCAAGTCGATGCTCAAGAAGCTTTTCATTCAATACCAGAACTCATCAGATGGGCTAAATGATGAGACAAATGATCCTATGAAACGCTATTTGTAGGTGTAGAATAACACTTTGAAGTAGTTACGCCTGTAGAATGTAGTAAACTATATATTGAATAAATAATTAAGCAAAATAGTTAAACTATAATAAGTAATTTAATTAGATTAAATTAACAAAGTGGCTAATAATTTTTAGAAAGCGAAAATTGCTATAACATCGCTACCAAGGGAAAAGAACTACACGAGGACATGTCACTGAAATTGAGTAAATAATTTCCACTTATTCAGCTAACCCTGATGAAGCCGTAAAGACGAAACGTTGTTTAAAATAATAAAAAAGTTATTTTATTGATGTCTGGAGCATAAATGTCGTTTTTTTCTAAATTTATTGGAATATGGAATGTATCAAGTAGCACTATGTATTAGGATTAGATCCTCCAGCTTAGATACTGGCCTGACGCAGTCCTTCATCACCATATGACTACTTGGAATCCACGAATGCCGTCGGAGAGTTGTAGCTAGTGGAAGATCTACTGTTAGAACTACAGGTCGAAGATCCATTTGGTTCTGAAATCATCTACGCTGTATCTATATTTGTAAGCTCGCAGATGCATGCGGACGGTTTTTCTCATGTTTCTTAAGATATCTGGAGCACCTTCCCGCGTGCGCTTGAAGATCATTCTACATCTGGAAACCCAGATCTGCGCTTTAAATTCCCACAGTAGGTATAAAAAACAACAATAATATGAGATTCAGTAACAGGGACAGGATGATAGAAAAGTACTGTGGTAAAACATGAGATTCACCAACAGGGACAGTAGGATAGAAAAGTACCGTGGTAAACATGATATATTTGTTAACGAAAATGAAGGCGAATTTCCCCCATAATGCAGCAGAACTTATACAGTCATACGTAGCATGGCGTACAGTTTCAATACAGGAACAAAAGGGGCAGTTATTTACTTGTGTTATTTGAAATCTGTTTAGGCGTGCTCGTACTGGGATCATTTCATGGGATATTTCCCAGACGATATCGCGCCGAGATGCTTTAAAGAGCCTGGAGTTCACTAAGAACCAAACTATATTCCATGTTACATTTGGGTAATTTGCCTCTATTTTTTGGGTAGCTTGGGGTAGCATTAATTCACATATGTACTGTGTTGATTTTCCCCCTAAATTAATGTAATTCTGTTCCTTAAGCCGTCCCTAATTTAGCAGTGCAAGACTAGAGGGAAGGCAACTAGTCATCACCACCCACCGCCAACTCATGGGCTACTCTTTTACCAATGAATAAGTGGGATTGACCTTTACATTATAACGCCCCCACAGCTGAAAGGGTCCCCCCCCTCCGAAAAAAGGTAGCTTAGGGGTACCAGACCGAATCACCTTCTTATCAACAGTCTGATTTTATTTTACTTCCAACTTTATCAAACAGATCACCCCAATGATACCCTGATAAGATGTCTCCTCGGGTCACAACAGTAAATACTGTGATGCTTCCAAACAGATTAACATGCAACAACCACCCCTAGTTACCTTATATTTCACTTAAAAACATACTACCAGCACTTAAGTAACATGCTCGGGGGGACTTTTATAATTTCTCTTTTTAACAGTTCAGGTTTTCCTTCCCATATATATATATATTTAAATATTTTCCTGTTCGTGACTATGATAGTTTCTGCTAGAGGAGGATAGACTTGAGCCTTAGCAAGGAGAAATATTTCTCCCTTTTCCCTGTTTTCGATTGTACTTTCAAGATTTTTGGCTAAAATATTCCAGTTATGTTCTATAGTGTCGTGTGCACTGTACCATATGCCTAGTATTTTAACGGGGTTTGGGGTCTAGTTCAGACCAAAGGGCTTATCTTCCCGGTCCCTCCCCCCTGTATAAAGAGCTAGAAGTTTATCCCAGTTAACTTTTGCTCCGGTAGTTGCACCATACTCATTAACTATACATAAATTGCTCTGAATGGCCTGAATAGGTAGTGAAAGAAACTTTATTACAAATGTACAACGTTTCGATAAGCTTATATCATCATCAGCTACAAGTAGTTTACATAGACACGGATATATATACAGTATGGAACAAGAGGTCACATGATCGGAGATTGCTTAACAGCTTAGTAAATATATCTTGGTACTCTGGGGTGTTGGTTTAGGGTGGGGCTGTTTTGTTCAATTAAGATGCTTTCCTTTACTTTGCGTTAGTTGATATTTGGTTCTTTGTTTAAAATTACGGTGTTTTCTATAGATGTACTTGTTTTTTCAGTTACAATGATGGTTACCAAGAGAGGATTTTTTTATTATGTTTGGTGAATCTGGTTTCCAATTTTCTTCCGGTTTCTCCGATGTGGAAAACTGGACAGTTATTGCACGCTAGTTTATAAACGACGTTGGAATTGTGTAATTCTGCATAATTTTTATTCAGTAATAACATTAGTTTAGGACTGGGTTTTTGAGTGAATTTGAAGGCGACAGGAAATTTATGCTTCATGGCATGGCAAGTTTTCTCCTTGTGTGAATTATTTTTGAACTGATTTCAGGGATGAATGGTAAATTGCAGTGCAATGCTGTGTTGTTGTTTGGTGTATTAGTGTAAATTTTTTTGTGAGTTGAGTTTTGAGGTTGTTGTTCTGCTGGTTGTGTGAACAGTTGTTCGACAGTTGTTGATGGAAATTAAAGGATGCTTTTAAAGTTGATTTCTTCATTTATGTAGTCAGTTGAACAAAGCCTTGAAGCTGTGTTTATAAATGTTTTTAGTATATTGATTTTTTTGTGTGGATTCATGGGCATAATTCCAGGGAATGTAGAGGCCCATGTGAGTGATTTTTCGGTGAATTTTGTTATTGAATTGTGTGTCGGATCTATTAAGGATGAGGTTAAGAAAAGATAACTGCTTGTTATTTTCGTGTTCGATGGTGAATTCAATGTTCAGATGAATGGATTTTATGTGTTCAAAGAAAGTGAGTATGTGTTCGGTAGAAGTAAAACCAGCAAAAGTGTCATATCTATACCAGTATATGGGAGGATAAAGTGTGGATTGTATGGCTTGTGTTTCGATCTCGATCATAAATATGTGGGCGATAACAGTTGAAACAAATATGTAGAAGATTCTCGCAAACAGTTGACTATAAAAAACGTTACTTCAACTACTTGAAAAAAAGAAGTAATTTACAATTACAAAAAGCGGTTTGTGCTTCTCAGTCAATGGTATTAAAAGTAGTGATAACGTTAAATGTTCGTGCTTTATTCTATATAAGGTACAACAGGTTTTAACAAACTACTTCTACCAGTGTTATTTCAAATAATTTAAGCGCGATGGTTAGGTCTCACATGGATATAATTCAATTGTCAACGTAAGTTTACATAATTCAGATATCAACTATATATATATATATAAATAAATAAATATATATATATATATATATTTATATATATATACACACGTATGCTCAAATACGTCTTAGAAACAAATATGAATATCTGCGTGACATCACACTTTTCGTCCAATTAAACATAGCGAATGAATCACGTGGTATATAGCGTTAAAAGCTCATTCGCACACAACGGCTTTTCTTCTGCGAGCTGAAGTGATTTTTAAAAGTGTTTTAAAAGTTGCGTTTTCATAAATAATTTTAATAAGTAGTAAAATGGGAGACGAGAACCAATACAACGGACAGAATCAGCAATATAGTGATTACAACGAAGATCAGTATGGGCAATATCAACATGATGGAATGGAAACGGATACTTTGCAAGACGGGGACAACAGTCAAAATCAAATGGATAGCAGTAAAGGAAAATCTGATGATGATAGGTAGGTTGGTTGATTATAATTTTTATGTTTGAATGACGTTTAGAATAAGAGTAATTATTAGGGATACCTTAAGTTTGAGAAGTAGATAAACTTTGTTCTACATTGTAGAGGTAAATTTTGTTTAACACTTACTGATACTGAGTGTTAGCTTGATATTATGGTTCCAGCCTGTTTCTTTGTTCAAAAATATTCTTCCGGCAGCCGTGGTACCAGTAGTAGTAGTAGTAGTACTAAGATGGCGGGCCTATCGACTTTCAAGTGTTAGCGTTGACATCTGGAAAATCTATAATCATCAGCATAAATACATTTTGTTCAGTTAAGGAAAAAATAAAGTGACTTTAAAGTAATACTGGTTGAGTTATTTTTGTTAACTTTGAGAATTTAAAAGCACAGAAATCTTAATTTCTTTATTCGTGTATTAACCCAGAAGGTTAAAATTAAATTTAATGTCTTAAAAAGTTACGTATTACTAGTACATCAGTTGTACAATTTTTCAAAAGTTCGTTGTGCTTGCATTTAATGATTTATGCTTTTTAATTTTAACAGTTAGGATGCATGTATTATAACAACTGGACGTACACCTACCTCAGTGTTGTGATAACTTCTAAATTCCATAGTAACTGAGTAAGACTAACTAAAAGATACATTGGTTTCTTTTCTGTTGCTCAAGTGTACACTTTTAATTACTTGCTACAGATTCACACAGTCAATGTCATATTTCTTTGATATATTTCTTCTTGTGAAATATACCAGTGCATTTTCAACAGTTTCTGCTAGTTATATGACCACAAACATAACTGAACTAGTTTTTTGTGTGTGTTTGGTATAATTATGCAGCTTTCAATATTTGAATTTTGAAATGAAATCCTTTACCTAACATCTGCAATCCCCATGCTGCTAGTACTAGTGATTATTGGTATTAATGTAGTCGGTAGATATTTTGCTCACAGAGTTTGGGAAGGAGATCAAGTGTATAGTGAGTTTAATGAAATATTGTAGTTTTTGTAACTAGGCGCGATTTGTAATACCACGAGTGCTTCTAGACAAGATTTAATTTTATACTCATAGTAAACACACTGGTGCAGTGAAGTTTTTCAGCTCTGATGCTATTCTTTGAAAAAAACTTGTTGGTGGTAATTAGTGTAACTGAAAGCTAAACTTATTCTAACCATCACCTAATCAGTGTGGCATTTATGATTTGACTTTTATTTTCACATTATATATTTTTTATAACTAACTTCATTGCTTTTTGTAGATATTATCAAAATTAAAACTTAATCAGTATAGTAACTCGAGCTATAACTTTAGTATACCTTTGTTTTTAGTTAATTTTCCTTTCTGATTGCAGTGTTCAAGCTGGTTGTAAAATTCAGTGGTGTGAGTTTTAAGATTTTCTTAACCTAGTTCACTCTAATCGTGAGTAGTTCACACCTCTTCTAATGGTGGTTTCTTTCTTTTTCACAGCCAATCTTTCACGAGGCAGAATTTTGCACTACTTGATCAGTTTCCCTCACAGCCTTTGTTTTAATTGTACTATTCTTGAGTTATCTTAAATAAGGGATAAAAATTGTGTTAAGACTATTATGTAAATAATTTGATGTTAGTTTTGGTACTTGTAGAACCTATGTATATTATAATATACTACACTTGTTAATTCGTATTAGGTTTTTAATTTTTTAATATTTCCATGATTTTGGCCATTTCAAAATATTTAGTGTCTGATGTTTGTGAAAAAGATTATACTGTAAAGTTAGCGTTTTTCTATAACATGCTAATTCTAGCTTGAACACTGAATGCTTATGGTTCCATTTAGGTAAAGTTTTAGCAATAAAAAAAACAATTAAATAAAACAATGTATGTAAGAAAGGGCTGGATAGGTTCAAGAGACTCAAGATCTGGTCAGAAGAAGACTTGTTAGGTGAAGGACGTCACATGGATGGCAGTTGTGAGGCTACAGAACACGTCACCAGGAGCTTTTGACCTGAAATCTCCAGATTTCCCTCTGCCATCTTGCCCGAGCAACTGGTGGAGAGAGGACTACGCTTGACATCAGCCGGGTAACGGTGCTTCTCACGATAAGTAAAGCACTAGCTAAAAGTACAACAAAATTTTAGGTTTTTAAAATTTCGCGTACATTTCTCAAGAGAACTAGTGCAGTTAAACCCTAAATAGACTTTTTCAAAGGACAGCAATTAAGCTTAATATGATTGAGATTAAAGCAGCTCAACCTAGCTAATGTTTGCATTTTATCTGCATTTATGTTTCAAAGCAGAATTCTCAATCTAACTTGAATCTTTGAGATTCATACTAGAAAGGTGGACAAATTTAACTATTAACTTTGTTCTCACAGGGACATCCCCAGTGTTCAAGCCGTTGACCGATCATCAGATTGCAATGGTACATATGCTGGGTTATTTTTTCTTCCAGTAGAGTACATCCTACTTGAAATATTCCTGTATTAGTTTTCAGTTTTCAAGTTAAGCTTTAATGTTTTGATTTAAATCTTTGTCTTTACAGTGAAAGCTTCTACTAATGTAAACAGTTTTTCTCTAGTGTAAATTTCCAGAGTAACATTTAAGAGCTGAAATGTGGTCTCCTTGAATGAGTAATGGCAGATAAAGGTAAAGTAATTTCTCCATCTGATGATATGGCTGGTTAGGTATTCATGGTTCAAGATTAAAAATTACTAATCTGTTTAATTTTTCTCTGTATAGAAAACTTTTCATTGGAGGAGTCAGCTGGGAAACCCAGATTGGTAAGTGTATTACCTTTAAAATAACTTGTGTATACTGCGTAATTATTTAAAACTGACTTTACAGTGTTCTGTTATTGGATCTTTTTTAGGAACCACACATTTTACCTTATTGCTCAACAAGTTTTAGATATTTTAGTTCCTTTCAAAAGCAATAATATTGTGAGAAAAAAATTGCATCTTTAATTTTTCAGAATTTGTTGTACATTCTGTAGGGAATTGGACATTTTTGACAATAAAAGTTATGAAAATATTTGTGCTTTCCAGATAATTGAAAAACAAAATTTCATTGCAGCATAATGAGGACTTGTACAGAAACTGTATAAGTGTGTGCATTATGACAAGTTTATGATATTAGACTAATGTGACAGTTTTTACCATACTAGTTAGTAGACTTTAGATGGATAGCAGTGAAACATTGTGCTTATTTTGAGAATAGTCTATTTTGGAAATCACTTTCAGAATATTCTAGTTAGAAAAATTAATAAATGGATGTTTTAAATAAAACCTTTCTGGTTATCAAATGTTTGAATGTGTAAACTTGTTCACCCTTAGATGTCTCCTTCTTGTTTGAATGTGTAAACTTGTTCACCCTTAGATGTCTCCTTCTTGTTTGAATGTGTAAACTTGTTCACCCTTAGATGTCTCCTTTTAAGGATTGCTTTAGATAGTTTTGTGAGAGTTGGATTTTAGATTGGGACCTTGTTCTGAAATTCATATGTATATTGTTAAATATTGGAATTAATATGTGAGGTAGTAATATTTCTTTCTACTTTTTACAGATGACTTGAAGGACTACTTCTCAAAATATGGCGAAGTTGTTGATGTAAACATCAAGACAGACCCTAACACTGGAAAGTCCAGGGGATTTGCATTTGTTACATTTGCATCACAAGAGTCTGTAGATGCTGTAAGTATTTGACTGGTGCACTAGGTGCTAAGACTTTAAATTTATGTTGAGTGGTCAAAAATATTGTTGTATTTATGAAGTTTGGGATTTATGGCTCAAAATATTAAAAGCTTTTTTAACCCGATGTTTCATGGGGTCAGTGCATTAGACTAAACCAATATTGAATAATTAACTTTCATGTACCATAATGTTGAATACGCTATGCGTACATTTGCAAAGTTTTGTAAGCTTTTGGTAAACATTGCACGTATGTTTGAAGTATTTTTACAAAAATATTTGTTTGTGAATATTACGAGTCCATCTAACTCGGATTCTGACTAGTCAAGAGTACAAGATTATTTTCATGTTAAGAATAAAACTACGTTTTCGTCGTAGTTTTCATATTTCATTTGCATAACTCTAGAACTTACTAAACAAATATCAAGTCTTAATTTTACTGAAAAAAATATCTTGTGTATCCTACACTTGTGAAATTGGCCATGTAGGGTAAAATGAAAAGTACAAAATAAATCTAAGCTATCTTTTTTTTTCTTCTTTCTAGAATGACTGAATATTGTAACTGACATTTGTACACCATTCATTCTTACAACCAAAGCTAATATTTTTCAAATCTCCTAATCGTTTAGACTTATTGCTTTACAGCTGCACTAAGATTATGGCAAAAGCAACTTACTTTAGTGGAGTAGCTTTGTGTAAATAAAGTATTGAGGTATCAGCATGTGCATGGTCAGGTTACAAATATGCTATGCTTTCAATGTATACAGGCTATCTAGTATGTTTTTTTTTTTTTATATTCTTATTTAACCTAATAAGTTTCTTATTTGTTATTTTTGTAACAATAGATAAAATACATATGTACAAAACCCAATATGGCAGCTAGAACAAAAAATTTTAACATGTTTAAAGAATATAATTCCATATAATTATATTTTAACTGGCTTTCAAACTTGGCTGTAAGTGGGTTAAAGTAATTCTGATAGCTCAAAAACGATTGTCAGAACAAGCTAACCTTGTAGAGGATTCAGTAAATGAAAATATTTTTCTTTCTTTTGGTTATGAATAATCCAATAGCAAATGGAGATAATTATTGGCTTCTTTGAAAGCCTGTGTAATAGGAGGGCATGGCATGAGAGTTTCATTTTCGAGTTTATTTCTTTGTAAAGCAGGAAGATTGGAAACTATAAGTTTATATTAAGTCTTAGTAATATATATATATTACTAGTGTAATTTATGCTAAAGTTGGAATATCATATAGGGTTACAAATAAAATCGAAAAAAGAGGCAATTTGGAGCAAAGAAGTGTCGTGATACAGAAAAGTGAAGACTGAGAGTTTATTTAATTTAAATGTTTCCTTTTGAAATGAAGAAATTAAAACTTTTAATATTAAAATTTGGAATGTAAGCTACATTTTGGTGCCAAATTTATTGAAGTCCATTGATAATAAAGTTGTTTGATTAAATTGTGGATATAACTAAAAAGTTATGAAGGATGCATGACGTTTGTGTATTTATATATTTTACTTATTTTTTTAAACATTTGATAAGTAATGAACTGTTTCTTTTGTTTCATAATTAGGTGATAAAAGATGGAACACACACAGTTAAGGGGAAACAAATTGACCCTAAAAAAGCCAAGTCTAAACCTGGAGCAAAAAAGATCTTTGTTGGAGGACTTGATCCAAACATGCCTGCAAGTGATATCAAGACATACTTTCAACAATTTGGCAAGGTAAAAAATAAGTTTTTTCTTGTTTATTTTTCCCCATCAGTAGCTATAGTGGAATAATATAGTTTTGTTACAGTGTATTTATTTGTTTTTAAAATGCACAATATTTGAAAAGCTGATTATCCTTGTTTCAATACTAATCAAATACAAGCTTTGAAATATGTGAAAAGGTTTTAAGTGTTAACCCTTTGCATTCAGCTTAACCCATTTGGGTAAACCCTAGAATGTTAAAGCTATACATACTAGAATTATGAATTTACCAAGTATATCTTCATGAAATTTAGCAAGCTTTTAGTAGACTTTACAAGTCTGTTGTATACAAAATATCAATTTCTGAATCCAACTGCATCGATATGACTTGATTCTGGGTGAAAGACGATATTCGTGCTAAGGATAAAAATACTTTCTGAGACACCCTGTTGGTATGAACATGCTTAGCAGTCAGTATGAGATAACCTATACATTGGATAGGTGGAATGAAGAAAAAGTGTCAATAGCCACTTTTCGGTTCTTCACGTTATGTAGCCGCATAATAGCAGATATAATAAATAAACTTAGTATTCCAAAATTGTTTAATCTCAAGGTCTAAGAAGAATTGAATATTGACCAATTACACTTTTTTCTTCATTTCGTATATCCAGTGTCTAGGTTTTTCTCATAGAGACTACGAAATATGTTTACAGAAACAGTATGTTTGATACTTTTCACTATGATATAGGTCCATTTTACCTCTCTTTGGTTAACTTGTGTTCAGGGTTACTGATGAGGAATGGAATTCTTAAACTAGTCTAACCCAGTAACACACGTTGATCAAAGTTTAGACTGAACTGGACCTTCCTTGAACTTAGACTTCAAGATTAAACAATTTTTGGAATCCTAAGTTCATTTATTACTTTTCTAGACTTTACAGCTTTCTTAAGTAATTTAAATAACCTCTTAAAACATCTTAATTACATTTTGTTTTTTTCTTTTGGTTAAATTTTATATTTGTTGTTTTCTCCATCCTACCAACAACCTTAGCTGAGTCATCAATGTGCATTGATAGGAAAATAGAAAATTATAAAATAAAATGAACATTACCTTGTTTTTTTTTTCTCATTCTTTGAATGCATAATTTGTTTTCACACCTTCAGTTAATGATATCCAGAATTTAAAATGTTAATCTTTACACATTTCTTTTAATTTTCTTGTTTTATTCCCTGGCTTTTAAACACACAAGTTCTTCTGTGAAGATGGTGGGAACAGGCTAGTAGATTCTAATATATTGACATACTGTGCAGTGTGAAATATGTGCAATCAAATGTGTAGCTAGATAGGTTTCTCCCTGTCTTCTTTTCTAACCGTAAATTGTAACGTTGGTTATTGTTTTTTTTAAATCAAAATGGTGTGTATATTAAAAGAAACTTGTACAATACCAAATTTACACATAAGCTGACTTTTTTTAAAATTGTTTTTCAGAAGATTTTATTTAGTATATGTAATAGTTTTTAAGTCTGTTTTATTTTCATTAATAAATATCTTTTACATTCTTTCTTGTTGATTTTCTTTTCCCATAGAAGCATTTACATGGACCTAACACAATAAATGGTCTTCTCAGTGAAATGAAACTTTACATGGTCAGGTGCAAAATGATATAACTAGATCTACCTCATCTCGTTTCATGTAAAAACATTTCCTATTGTACTATAAAATTGGTTAGCCCTGTGGTAAAGCTGTAGTTTGTGAGACACGTTAGTTTTTGCGGGATACCGCTAAGTATTCCCCTTACTTTAAGCTGTAGGTGTATTATAAATGAGACAGTCAATCTCTTAGCATTTGTGGTAGGTGCTGCATTCCTTCTGGTCTGTACCTTAAAATTAGGGATGATGGCAGATAGCCTTTGTAGCTTTGCCATAAATACAAAATTTCTTGTATTTCAACACCATAACTGAAATAAAGAATGGAATGACAAACTTATTTAAGAGAAAAAAAACTACTGTTATGGTGGCAGACGTTGTTCATAAAGAAATTTTTTCTTCTGGCAACATATCGCCAGTCTAAGCTTTTATTATTTTGTTCTGATCTTCATGCAAGTTTCTGCGTAATTGGAGATCATATTGGCTTTATATAGTTGAAAAAAGGAACAGAAAAAGAGCTTACATTATGTGTTTACTCACCTAAGACTTCTTGAGAAACAGTAATTGGCTGAAATTGATAAAACTAATAATCCAAGTCTTAATAACATAAACTTTGGAGAGCTCAGCTTTTGCACTCTTCCACTTCCAGTGACCACTTGTCATACCATTTTCTGTGTTGGAGGATGTTTACTTGACTGATCAACAAATAAATATATATAATCTAGAGCTAATAAGTGTAGCTCCTGGTACTTTTCTTTCTTTATTTTTTAACTATGTATTTGCTTGGTTTTACAAGTCAGTGCTCTAACACTATTGTATGAATTTCGTATTCTTCTTGTACTACATTTATGAAAGTTGCCTCTGTACTCATTTTGGAATTTTGTTTACAGGTGTTTCAAAAATCTTTACTAATCTTTAAGCTCATGCTGGTGTAAATTTCACTGTAAGACTGGAAATTTTGTAAAGCATAGAGTAATTACCAAAGTAGTTGTTCTAGCAAAATAAGCAGTAGAGTTAATAAAATTAACTTTCTACCTTTACATCACACACAAAACAACTGTGATGCAGTTAGATTACTTGAAGGCTTCTGATGTAATAATGAAAATTTAGAAGCTTATAATCCGCATTAGAAAGGGAGTTTTAACGGAAAGAATTAATCCAAGCCTTCAAATATATTTATGGTTATGTTAGCTTTGAAAGCTTAGAAGGTGTAAAAAAACAATTTCTTTAAATTGAATTTACAGTTTTTGACACCATAAACTTCAAAATTCACTCGTAACTCTTTCAGCCTGGGCTCGGTCCACAGGACTGACCTCGTAACCGTTTTGTGCTTGTCATAGTTTTCGTGCTATAACTTTTAAGCATGTATTAAGAGAATTTGGCAGATTATAAGTAAACATTACAGTGCATTCATACACAAAATATCATTTTTTATTAAGTCTTCAGGTTTGTTGAGCACTGTTTTTCTCTTGCCTTTTTTTTCTTATGTTTCCTATCCACATGCAAAGTAATTTTCATTTTAAGATTAAAAATATTTTATGCATCAGAAAATTTTCAAATTTCACATGCGAAATCTTTATAATGTCCAGTTAGTTATCAAATGTTTCTTATGAAAAAACTATTTCATCTGTAACCATCATAAAAAAGTTGCTTCTTTTGTTCTAGTGACAAATTATAACATGAAAATATAAATGTTTAGACTAAATAGCTTAAATCTCATAACATTATACCTTTTTATATATGTATATATAATTATTTTTATTATATTGACCTTCCAGCTATACTTAGCTAACAATACAGTAGTTACAATGACGCAGCACACGTGCTCTCATGTTACCGTATCCAATAATATATAACTGACCTTTAGTCTTTAAGTGACCTGTTTGGCTGTGTTTTAGTAGACTAGTATTCTGCAAAATATAGTTACATTTCAATTATTATAAATTATATATGTATATAGATTATTACTATTTAGGAATAAGTTCTTAAACTTATTTTTCTTAAAACATAGAACAGTAAATGAAGAAGTAAAGCAAACATTTATTTCTTCTAGTTACAACTTTTGTACACGGTTGCTGCTTGATGTAGGTTGCTAAGCCTTTTAATATTTCGCAGATGGAGGATAAAAAAACGAAATAATTTTTTAGGTTTATATATTCAGTTGAATAACCAAAACATCATAATTTACTATATCAATACCATAGAATACCTCTATAATTTATCAAACTTGGTAACTAAGCTGTATTTGGATCCAAAAAAAATATGAAATTTTGAGCAGACTAAAGGCGCAACCTATCGCCTTGAAATCTTCGTTCAAAAGAATAAGATGGCGTTCTAAAACATGAAAATAGCTGAGAAAGCCATTAGAGGGACATTCTGAGCTTTCGTTTTGTTATTTACATGTCATATATTGAAGTAAGTGTATATAAGGGACAGTTTCTAAAAATGGAAAGAGGTGAGCTGGGTCACTTTGTTTAATTCATTACACGGGTAATATCTCACAAATAGAAAAGATACGAGGTTCTTATTTTATATTATAGCTTGTCAGTATTGGTAATTTCAGTTCCTAATTCATACAAAACTATAGACTTGGTATTTTGACATCACAAACATCTAATTTGAACCAGTGCTGCACTGAACATACCACATGACACACAAAAATCAATGTTTAACTTTGTTTTTTAATATTTACTTTTAATTTAGGAAATTAAATAATGTATAATACTAACATTTTAATCATAATCTACAGTTTGATACCAAACTTATTGACATAAATTCATGAAATAGTAGTTCAATAAACTTTTGAATGCGATGACTTGGCCTTTGATCCGTAACCCGTCTGGAGAGGGTTAATACTGTTTGTGCTATAAATGTATAACAAATCTGTACAAAGACCACAAATTTGCAACATTGTTTTGTTGAAGTTGTGGTTAGCAGTTTGGATATTTATTGTTTTATACATAAGAAATGTTAATTAAATAAACATCAAATTAAAATACCACATCTGAACATTTGAGGGTTTTTTTTTGCAGGTGATTTGAAGTAAGAATTATTGTTTTTTTTAACACTTTATAATGTTTTTTGCCCTACTTAAAGAAAAAAGATACCAGACTTGAAATAGTTAAGTCAATACATGTGGTAGCATGTTGAAATTTTGTATCAGTAGTATTTTTGTTACTAGGTATACAAGTTCTTAAATTTGATGCACTGCTTATTTATCAACTCGATTTAGTCTCTAAATTTGGATAAACATTCTGGCATTATTAGACCAATATTTATTTATTCCTAACTAGTCTCAGTTTTCATGGCAAAGAATTACTTTTTGCAACTTTTTTATTTTATTTTTAAGAGTCGTATTACTAAAGAAATGTAGGTATCATTATTTAATCGTTTTTTATTTTTGTTTCTTCATTAATAGTAGTATAACTTAAAATCTTTGTCACCTAGGTTGAAACTGTTGAGTTGCCAGTAGACAAGGTAAAGAACCAAAGACGACAGTTTGCGTTCATAACGTTCGAGACAGAAGATGCTGTGAATGAAGTTACTAAACAACCGAAGCAAATGATAGGAAGTAAAGAGTGTGATGTTAAGAAGGCTACTCCTAAGCCGGATTACAGAACCATGCGTGGTGGATTCATGGGAGGGTGGGGATCTCCTCGAGGTGGAGCCAATGGTGAAAGGGGTCGTGGAAGAGGAGGTTAGAGCAATTTTGATGTGTAAATTTAAGTATAATAACCTCAAAAATGTTGTACAGTTTTTATGGTTTTTAGAGTGCAACTGAATTGTTAATGAAATGATACATTTTTATTAATTTATTTTTTTCCCCCTAGGTTACATGGCTCAGAGCTGGGAAAGTCCAGGGTATGGAGGATATAGTCAAGGATATGGCAACTATAATCCAGGATATGGCAGTTATGACTACAGTGGTTATAGTGGTGATTACAGTGGTGGATATGGTAGTTACGACTACAGTGGATGGGGGCAATATGGACAAAGTTATGGTATGAAAAATTAATTCCCAGGTTAAGCCAATATCTCTAGAACAGGGTGCACAACTGATTGAGACTTGGCGGGCCATAATATTTCTTCCTCCAAAATATTTTTAAGCCCTTTGCATATTCTTCTAACTCTAAAGACTATTTAACAAAATTTCTGTTAAATTGTGATGTAGAAACTGTTAGATTTAATAACAGACAAAAATGAGTGTATTTAACAATTCTGTAAATAAGAATGAAATTTACTCAATAAAAAAGAAAAAAAAAGCTGCCTAAATCACGAGATGTAAACAAACCAGTTGCATTAAATTTATTATTTTATGCGACCGTGTTTCATTTTCAACAGTATACTGTAACGCGAAGCTAATGCGAATCATTACACCATTTTGAGTTTGCCATGCCAGCGATATCTGGCTTGATCTTGGAAGTTGCAATTTTCAAAATGTTGGTTAAATTTTGATCAGTTAGAGTACCATGATGTACAGATTTGTGTAACTGGAAAAAGGTTTGCTCACACACACATGCAAGTACTCCCAAATAGTGATGCTACTTTGAGTGCCTTAGTTGGATTTGTCAAGTGCTTTGTAGAATTCAACTGGAGAACATTATCGATGTTTGCTTTTTTAGGACTGTAGAACATTGCAAGTCTAATCTCGAGTTGAATACTAGGATCTTGATTTCCAGCATTAATGGAAAATGGATGGACTAAAAGTTTTAGACGTAGTCTCCTCTGCCTGTAGGTTGTGCTGATCTCCAGCTGTAAATCTTCAAGACAGGGAACATATTTTGAAGTCTTCGCCATTCTTTCAGTTGTGTTTTTCGAAAACACTGAGTCACAAGTTGGAAAGCGAGACAAATCTCCTTCTCTTGGTTGTAAAACAAAGAGCTGCAATTTAAGCCTGAAACTCTTGAATGCAGAAACTATATTTCTAACCAAATGGTCTTGGCCTTGAAGAATCTTGTTGAAGCAGTTTAGATGGAATGTTATATCGGCTAAAAAACCTAAATCACAATCATTCTTCATTTTCCAACTCTCGTATAACTTTACCTTCATGCTCTCAGACCTAATGGCTACAAAACCTTGCAATATCTTGCCGTGACTCAGCCAAAACGTTGCAAGATGTCGCTTGTGTCTAGGACAGAAAACGTTTTTCAGCAGCAAAGTAGTACCTTTTTTTTCCTGCCATCCAGGTTGTACCATCAGTACACACGGCTGCTATTTTATTGCTCGGTAACTTCAAATTTTGCATTACTGAAAGTATCTGTTTGCATATTTCCTCACCAATGGTTTGGCCATAAATCGAGTACATATCTGCAAGCTTCAAATTATATAAAAAATCTTTGTTCCATATATATACACATACAACTACTTAGCAGTATCTTTTATGTAACATCTCTCATCTAATGCAATCGAATAATACTCCAATTGCAAACAAATTCTCTTCAACTGAACACTTGCGTTTTGCGATATATCGCTAATTATTCAATGTATTGATAAGTTTACATTTTGAAAAATTTATTTTTTGGGCATACCTTGTTGCAGACCACTAACATACATGATTTAACAAAATCACTGTTGGTAAGTGGTTGGCACTTAGGTTCAGTTTCTCGTGCTACAAAGAAACTTGCTCATGTGCTAGCATCACTAACATTGTTTACTCTCTTAAACACATTTTGTTGAGACAAAAGATCCTTTTTGAATTGCTCAATTTTATTCCTTTTCTCAGTATTTGTCAACTTGTGTAAAGATTTGCGATGCTTGGTCTCGTAATGCCTTCGAATGTTATATTCCTTTGCCACAGATACTGTTTCACAACATGCAAGGTATATGATATTTTTATCAGTTTCTTGTTCGATAAAACAATATTACTCAGTCCACTCTTGTTTAAATTTTCTATGCTTCTTATCCACTTTCCTCTGTTTACCCTTGTCCACTATGGAATTCTTAAATTTGTAAACAAAAATGTACTGTTATTGTACAATTATTACACTGCTAAAATTACAAAATACCAAGCCATTCCGTAATATAATGATACACGATATTATGATGTTTTATATTGCTAAATGTGGGCAAGAGAGTTTTTATCGAATTTACCCAGCAAACGTAGTTAGCTTGTAATGGTTAAATGTAAGTTAGATATATAGTAAGAAAAGACTGCATCCACTAAAATTGACTAACGATCTCGTGGTTGTTTTAGCCTGCTTCTGTTGAACCTTCTGTGATGCAACAATAAGTCTATAACTGCGTAGTGACGTGGTACTTGTAACTAATGAATGAAACGGGTAATGCTCTTTGGGAGTTAAAAACATTTCCATCAAATTAAAAAAAACACTTTCAACTTTGTGCACTATAATTTTGTGCCACGAGCCGTACAAAATGAGCTGGCGGACCAAATTTGGCCCGCGGGCCGTATGTTGTGCACCTCTGCTCTAGAAAATGTTGAGATATTTATATTAGTTTTCCTTTACTTTTTATAATGTATAATTAATTACTGAGAACATTTTTTAATATTCCCCCTTTTTGTGTTAGTATATTGACTGACTTTTTGCACTTGTTACATTTCACTAGTGTTAATATGAATACAGTCTGAATGAATACCCTCTGAAGTCTTTCTTAGTTAGTCCTGTTGATGATAATTAAGAACCTTGTACTGACCAGACGTAGATCAGAATTATTATGGCTTAAAAATTCATTGCCATGTTTTATTTTGCACCACACGAAACTTCTACATGGAAGTGTATCTATAATATTTGGCTTAAACATGCCATTTGCAGTCCATCCTGTTCAACTGACACTCTCATACTAACACTTAAAAGTGTCTGTAAAACAAATTTTGCAAGGGCTTGTTAGTGCCCCAACCATATCCGTCATGAAGCCTGCTCTTTTGGGCCCACAACTGGTCCTTTTATTCTTACCAAGAAATACTTTTAAATTCAAATCCTCTTATTATTTGTCATGGTATTGACCATGCAATCAACTGTTATAGTTTTGTGGAATGATTGAGATGAGGTGTTGGTAATACTAATGGTATAATTATTCAGACTATTATTCTTGTCTTTGTTATATGTATTATTTTCACAACGAGTTGACCAGTGAATTCTCTGGTCATTGTCAGGTGTTTTATCAGACATTTTGCATAATTCACAACCAGAAATCTTTTTGTTGAATTACCAGCATTTGAAACCATGAACCTGTGATCCTGAATATGGGCACTGATAGCCAAGTGGTTAGAGTTCTTGTATTCAAGAACACGGGTTTGGGGGTTCAAATCTTGGTAACTCCACAAAAAGCTTTCTGGTTGTAACACATACAAAATGTCTGATATAACATTTGATGATGGCCCAGAATTCATTGGTTAAGTTGTTAAAGTAATGCATATAATAGACAAGAATAATAGTCCAAATAATTCCACCATTGGCAATCGGCTATTGTTTGTTTACACAAACAAGCTCGTAGATAACTTCGTGTGACCCTTTTCTTCACTGCTATGACTTTTATTTTAAATGGTATAGACTAGTGATGTTACATGTACAGTAATAACATTTTCAAACTCTTGTTCTATGTTGATATCAAACATCCTTGTAACTGAGAAACTGTCAATAATTTTATAGTTTAAATTACAAAAATGAATATTAATTATTAGCACATTCAGACTAGTAAGAAAAGTTTTAGCGAATTTGATCCTGATCTAAATTGTATTTGAACTACTTTTTGCATGACAGGAGGCCACAAGGGCTGCCATATTGATTGGAGGTGGTCATAGTTCAGTGGCATGCTGTGAACATATCTCGGTTTAGGCGTCAAAATTACTTTGTTAATAGAAGAACAGTACAAATCAATCAATATTAATTATTTTTGTCAACTTTTGTAGACAAAAAATTGACATGCACCAGCCTGCTAAAGGCGTGTGTGGACATTTGGTGGGGGGGCTATTCACAGACCCTTATGCATTTTTCAAACGTGAAGGACTGCTTTTAACTACCAAGGTTAATTCCTTGTTAAGATTCATTTACTTGTATAGCTCAGCTTTTAGCAGAAAGACTTAATCCAGATGTGGGCTTAATTGCAGGTCAACAAGATAGTGGATATGGAAAGACTCGTGGAGCAGTAAGAGGGAGTGCCACCACCACTTCTTACCATCCTTACCATTAAGTGTATATTGAGACTGTGTGGTACAAATGTTGCACCATGTTGACATTGTAATTTCATGAGACATCATGCATGTTCATTATCCAATGTATATAGTTTATGTTGAATAAAAGTCTTTAGAGGTGTTAACACTTGACAAACTGTTGTGCTTTCTTTGTAGGGAGCATGAAATTATCTGAATATCGGCAAGTTACTGCTAGATAAGTAGTTATAACATCAAAACAGTAAATTTTTAATGATTGAATTTTATCCATTCTTGATCTGATAAAATGACAGTTGTGCAACTACGATTTGGCGTACTTCTTTGGACTTTTGAGGCAGTTCAGTGAAATGAGCATTACGATGGATATTATTATTATTATTATTATTACTATATACAAGTTTTGCAGTGTTATAAGTATTTCTAAAAAAATATATAGGTGGAATGGTGGGGTACTTTACAAGTTCAAAGGCCCGGCATTGGCAGGTGGTTAGGGCGCTCGATTCGCAGTCTGAGGGTCACGGGTTCGAATCACCGTCCCACCAAACATGCTCGCCCATTCAGCCGTGGGGGCGTTAAAATGTGA